TGCCACTAGGTGGTACCATAGGATTTTGTAGATGTCGAAGAGACCATATCAAAAGCAAATTTGTCTTAATGTTAGTGTAATGTAAAATAGATGAGGATACACGAGCCAAGCCATTCTTTTAAGATAATGCCCTTATTTGAAGATAGCACTCTTCACAGAACGTTGATTTACCCCTACAAAGGCAGGAGCAGTTGGGAGGACAGTTGGTCCTGGTCCTTTTAAAGGCATTTACCTGAAAATTGTGGGATATTTAGGAGTTGATGGAGCAGGAAGCCAGCACAGTTCTGCAATATGAGATCTGAACGCCCACTCTGTGTGCAATGACTGTTGTAGAGGTAGCAGCAGTGTCAGCTGGAGTGAATTGCAGACACCGAAAGAACTATTTAGTAGTGAGAACCAGACTGCCCAGAGCCACATCCAGCCTGGCCTTGAATGAATCCAGGGACAGGGCATCCACAACCTCCTTGGGCAACCTGTTCCTCTTAAAAAATATCCAGTTGAATAAACAAGCTCTTACACTGAGGTGCGAAATGTTCTCCAACAGTACTGATAGCTCACATCTGTCCAGTGAACTTTAAGCTCTTTTCCCTTCAATATGTTAATTCACATTTATGAAGCTGTCTTATTATAATTTTTGTCTTCATTCTGCTTTATGCAGTTTCCATGCAATTGCATTTTACTACCCACCTCCTTAAGGCCCCTGGATTACATTTGCATATGAATTTCCCTCACACTGTGAGATCAAAGAACTTAAACATCTTGAGTGAGTTTTGTTTCGTTTTTTCATTTCTCTTTTTTCACGTGGGCTGACAGAGAAAGAATAATTTCCCAGGAAAATTTTAATGAATAATTATTACAAAAATAAATACTAACACGAAAAGGATATTGGAAATTATTACTAAAATACTGCAGTGTGAGATACAGTGACTGTTTCTGTTTTTGTAATTATTAAATTCACAGATACCAAAAATTCCTACTGGAGTCCTCCTCCTATGTCCACCTTTACCATTCTTCCAACTCCCGTATATATACATTACCTTGCTATACATGGTTAGGTAATGTTTTAGTCCTAATAAAATAAAAAAAAAAACTAGATATATTCCTGACAAAGAATTCAGCATCACTGCAGAATGTATTTTGTCAGTGCAGAGAGATCAACATAAGCTGTAGTATGAGAATGACAGAAAAAAGGCACAAATCAGAAAGCATGAAGTGTGACACAAGTACAGTTCATTCTCATAATTCCTGTGGCAGAATGTGGAACTTCTAGTACTTCCTGATAGTACTTCCAATAGTACTATTGATTAACTATCAACCATATGGAATAGTGAAAACCATTTGTGACCGTAAAAGGTGTCTGTCTAGACTAGAATACGCTGCACTTTTTGTTTGACATGAAAAGATAAATATATCATGTCACAGAACCTCTTCTATGCCATTTGGCAAGGTGAGTTTTTTCATTTTATTCTACTAAACGACAAAGCTCTAGAAAGAAATTCAATAGATACAAGGACCTTTCATAACTGCTATATTAAGTCCGGTTGAAATGACTGAATTTAGGTCAAAATCCAGACTATTTGTTCTAGAATTAAATTCAAGGAATTTTAGGTGCTTAATTTTGCATGTTTGCTGATAGTGCTTCAAGACAAGTGCCAAAGAGTCTTGAAGAACTCACTTTGTACTGATGAGCCAAGGCAGGAAGGCCAAATGTAGAACTCAGGAACAAGTGCCAGCAATGCAAGCACTGGTCTTAGAGCCTGCTAATGGCATTTTATCTGGCATCCCCCAACTTATGTACCATTGTTTCACTGCAGTGTGCATTTCAGCTCTTCTGGTGTCAGCCATTCAGCCTGAATTTGCCTATGCACCTTCTCTACTGAGAAGTGTTTCTGGTGTTTGAAATAAGAAGCCTGTCAAAGGAGCTCATCCTGCTAACTGCATGTATTTTTGAGACTGAGATTTTCTTTCACAATATACTTTTTGAGATTCTTTATCCTTTATCTGTTCAGAAGCAAACGTCAGTTGTGCCATTCATGCAGTCTATTTGCTTCAGATGGTCACAGAAGTGTCTATATCCAGATTAGAAGAACCACTAAATAACGTTATTTACATGTGCTGGTAGATTAGAGACTATTGCCTGTAGTTAATGTAGTCCAGTTCTGTATTTCAGAGGGAGAAAAAGATAACACATTTTAAGTAATGCTTTTATTTTTTTCACTCTAATTTGATGCAAAATTGAAAGGTGTGTACAAGGCAACTCACCAAAGAAGCTTCAGCCTAGGGATTATTGACAAGTGTGGGAAACTGAGTTGGGCAGTTTCTCCTTTCTGTATCTCTGGACTGTGCAGGCATGGCAATGTTGGTGTCAAAACAAATGAAAACAGATGATACTTTATTCAGAATACTACATCATGCAGTTCATGATTTCTCTTCCTGTGCTCTTCTCTGTGCTAAAATGTGACATTCTAAAGGCAATATAATCACGTGAAGCTTTTCAAGAAATAGAATTTAAGAAGTTTTTTCTTTTCTTTCTCCTTTGGGAGTCTTCAAGCTATAACCACTGTATTAGAAAGAAAAAAAAAAAAAATTGTTTCCCTAGAGTTTTATTGAGTACAAGGTTTTGTTTGTCTTTCCAGGGTGGTTATGTGTAGATAGGAACATATACATAGACCAAAATATAGCTTCGCATGCAAACCTAAATGCAAACTGGTGTAAATGGGGAGACAAATCCAGCTGTAGTCACTTTATATGCAAATATAAATGCAGTACAAAAAACTAAACAAGGCAATGTCCCATCTAAGATAGAGAAATGTTATCATGGCAGTCGGAACCCATGGCAACAAAATAATAATATAAGAGAATTATTTACTCTATAATTGTCTCCTTTTTCTCAATAAAAGATCAGAGCATGCAGGGCTTCCTTTGAAACATCTAGGAATACATTGAGTCCAATTTCTGAGATCAAACTACAGAGGTTGAAGAACTGGAGAAAATGAAAAAAGAAACTTCCAGGAGGTATTTTCTTTCCAAATGAACAGCTTAGGAATATTTAAAGTAAAGCTTTTAGGGATATTTTTAGTGCCACGTTTCTGTCTGTCACTAAATGAATGTTTCAGATAGAGTGATTTTGCTTCATAATTACAGTATCGAACAATTACGGTTCCTAAGTACCATAAGGACAGAACATCACGCTCTATTTGAAGGTAAATATGAATGAGGTTCTTATTTTTGTTAAGCAGGTAAGAAAACTGAGGCTTGTCACGCAAACTGAGATCTTTAACCAACATGGGAAATTCTTCTTTTCATGGCTTTTCCACCCTTGGTTTTTAGTGCACCAAAAGGCAGAAAATGCATTCCATTCTTCAGGCCCATAATGTGCTTCAAAGTCCCACACATAACACAAAGGGCTCCTGTCATTCAGGAGTGAAGGTGTTACATGAGGTTAATGGTGCAAAACTGCTCTCAGGTCATCCTAATGTGATGCTCATCTCATTTAAGCAGCAGAGAATGCTGGAGAGATTCTCTCTTTTGAGCTTTTTGTTCAAACTTCATGTTTGGATCAAGACTGAAATGAGTCTGGGGAGGTTCTTGTGCCAGTCCTGTGTTCAAGTCATTTTGTGCACTGTAGCTCAAGCAAGGAATTTCCTGACAAAACAGAAAATGCTGAGTCTTCAGTTCCAACATTTGCAGAGGTGTCATTGCATTTCTCCATGCAGAAAAAATGGCACCCATTGGAATTCATCAACTCTTACTGGATGTTTGTAGGGACCAAAGAGTGGATGTGATCTCAGTGAGGGGTGGGTGGTGCATTTCAGCAGTGGTGACAGTGGGTCACCTCTACTGGTACAGATTGCTACAGATGTGGAGACATTGCTTTCAGAATAACCTCCATTTTTTTTTTTTAATATGTTTTTATTCATTTCTTTTATGTCTGTTATTACTGCACCTCTAATTGTAATTCTGGGGCAGTCTAGCCATGATGTGCACGTGATGGATCTGACAGAATCCAAGTTCCTAAGTGCTGTGGGAGATTTAGAAGTGTCACTGTGTGTGGGAATTCAGTTTTTGTTGTGTTTGTTGATTTGGGTTGTTGGTTTTTTTTTCAGTAACATGATGTTATTAAGAAATAAATTCCACTTGGAGTTTATTCCTACCATTTATATTGAGTAGCTTTTTTTTTTTTTTTGGTAAATCCACTTGTGTTCTGAAAGAGATTGAGTCCTTTAAAGCACAACAATTCTCAGAACTGAGCTTTTTGCGTGATTGAAAAAAGGAACTATCACTATACTTCAGTGAAAGCAAGCAAGACACTTGCAGTGCAAATGTTCTTTCTAATAGAACTCTCTGCAAGTGCTTTCTATTTAGGTACAACAGTACTTTATGTCCTTATGGAAAAAGCATAAGGAAAAAAATGTCTTTGGCAATGAAGATGATTCTCTGCCTGATAGTAAGAGGCTTTGGTCAAAAAGATCACCCAGAAGCCTGAACATCTGTAATGCCTTCCTGTAGTGCTGACACGCTCCTTAAATATTAATGGGCACCCCTGTCCTACATGTAGGTGGAAGATGGAGGTAACCTCTCCATTTCACACGAGCACAGCAGGTTATAGAAACAGGTCAAGATCACTCTTGGAAATTCTTGGTAAATCTGTGAGATTTGAGCAAAGTTCAGTCTTCAAAGTTGTACTTCCGTAGCTGGCTTTTTCCTCTGTCAAATTATCGGGTTTGGGATGCTTTATTATGACTTCTTTAAATGTGAAAGTCATAGATGTAGGGAATGAACAAGAATAAAGATGACTGGGTCCCATCTTTCACATCTAGACATTTTCATATGCTTTGTGAAATGGATCTTTAATAATGCATATTTTGTATTATATAACTATTCAAAAATCCGACTGCTCAACTCCAAAACACTGCTGGATGTAGTAAGATGCTTTAATTATTTGAAAAATTGTGAATGCACATCAAATTATCATATACAAATTTCAAGTGATTATGTATATGTATTTAAAGCAATCATGCCAAGTGCTTTCTCAGATTTAAACAGGAGAAAAAAAAGATAAATTTATAAAGATTTGAAAGGTCTGCTCAACAATTTTTTTAATTTACTTTGTTGATGTAGTTTTAATTCGAAGACTATGGAAAACTTAGTATGCTCTATTATACTTGAGTTGTTGATAACCCCTAAAAGTGTAATTACTGTACATTTCTGTTTAAGCATCCTAAATTAATTGAAATAGCATTAAAATCCTCCATGATACTTTATTACAGAATTATTAAAATAATATGCTAAGAACGGTTTATTTTTTCTAATGATAATTAGACTGGTGATCAGAGAATTAGTCAGATACCCACCTCTCTGGATATAGTCTATGTTCATCTGTGCAAACGTATGTATTTCCACTGAGGGTTTCCCACTATTTCTTTATAGAGTTACCAGAAAAAGTATAAGGGATTATTTTTATGAAGATGGACTTTTTTTTTATGTTTTCGGCCAGGAATTAAGAGATCCCTGACAGCCTCCTGCTCTACTGCTCTCTGGTTTTCTTTGTGATAAAGTCAGGAATGTGGAATTCGAAAAAGAGCACTGTCAGGCATCTGCGATTTCATTATCACACATAGAATCACTGAATCATAGGATGGCTTGGGTTGGAAAAGACCTCAAGGATCATCAAGCTCCAAAACCCCTTCCTCAGGCAGGGCTGCCAACCTCCATATCTAACACTAGAACAGGCTATTTCAAGGCACTCTTTTCCTTAGATCACAACCATTGGTGCAGCAGATTTTTTGGGCTTCCTTCTTGGCCCACTGAGAAAGGCGACTTGACCTCACCTCTTCTGAAAACGAGACTTGGATTTGTAAGAGGGAAAAATGGCTTGCTATATATTTGAGTAAATTATGTAATTTCAGCAGTCCTGATTGCTGTCCTCACCGTGACTTCAATCAGCAGAAATTCCCCAGTGCTGAAAGGATTCCGAGACGGCGCCCAGGCGGAAGTTGTGATTTTCCACTGAAGTTTCATTGCAAAATGAATGGTAGCTGCGGGACTGCAGAACAAAACCACATCCTCCTTGTAGCTCAGCCTCGCCTCTCATGTTCATTTCTCTGCTAACCGCTAGTGCTGAGGAAGAAAGAAATGAAAAAGAAATGCAGAAAGCCAGAAGAAAAAGTAGGTGATAGAACAGGCTATGGGTATCGGAGAACAGCAAAAGGATCAAGTTAATATAAAATGAAAGTTACTAGGGGTTTTTTTTGCTTGATTAATCTTACTGTTACCTCTTGTATTTAGAATTATTTTTGATTGTGAATATTCCTCCTTCTCCATGTGGGTTAGAATATATTTTTCTTCAGGAATATATTACAGCTCATTCTGCAGCTAAAAATACGCTATAAATCTTTGAGGAGCAATGAAGATCACAGTGTGCAACTGGAGACACCCAAAAATCCTCTCATTTCTTGTGACACGATGACAAATTCTAATTAATATGGTTACTCCACTAAAACTGTTCAGTGCTTTTTAGGCTGGGTACTAGCAGAAACTTCTCCAAAAGAGCAGTGAGGCATCGAAACAGGCTGCCCAGGGAGCTGATGGAGTCACTGTCCCTGGAGGTGTTCAAGAATCATGGAGATGTGGCACTGAGGGACGTGGTCAGTGGGCAATGTTGGTGGTAGGTGGATGGTTGGACTGGATGATCTTAGAGGTCTTTTCCAACCGCAATGATTCTATGATTCTATGGTTCTGTATTTAATTAGGAAAAAAAAGGAGTCATTATTAACATTACTTCGTCATGAGTGTAAGCATACATTACAACTTGTGCATTCAGAGAAGAAAACTAAATTAATCATTACTAGAAAATGTATGAAGAGAAGATTGCTCTGTTTTTTTTCCCCCAAATAGTCAGTTAGCAAGTGAGATGTTTTAGTGAAAAAAACTAAGTGAGATAAATACAAAGGAAAATGGAGAGTTGTGTTAAAGAGCATGTATTATGAAACATCCCTTTGCTCTGAATGCTAGGAACATTTGTTAGAAAGCAGCTTTTTATTAAGTGATGTCCTTAATTCATTGTCATTCACAGTATGGCATCTACCACGTTTCTTCTTCTATTTTAAGTGGTGTAGAACATGTTTAAAAGAGGTTTTTAATTTTTTTTTTCTTTACAAATAAGTAGATGAAAGGGAATAAGTGTATTCAAGTCCCATGAAAGGAATTTATTGAGTCCATACTTCTAACAAAAAACTGATGGTAGACCACAGAACATTTCACTTATAAAATGCAAAATCACTGCAACAAATGAAGAAACTACTGGAAAAAAATATTAATTGCAAGATTTTTACTAAAAAAACTCAACTGTCATAGTGTATTCCATTCTGTTTCTAGAATACTTCTCCACCAACTTTAGCAGAAGCAACGACACATACATTAAAAACAAGCCAGTTAAGAGTTCTGTTTTGTACAATCACTTTAATAAAATATTACCTACCCTGAGTTGTAACAGGAGGCACCTACAAATTCATAACTACTCAGGCCTCTAGCTTTTACCTTCTCACAAAAATGGGAGCCACCTTTTGTCATTTCTGTTGTCTTGCTTCTTTGCTAGTTCCTTATACTCTTTTGACCTTAGAAACCTGGGAAAAGAGTCTTTTGCCATGAGACTATAGATTAGCCTCTGGGCATCATCAAAACAACTGAGGGTGGGTTCTGAGATGTTCTGAGAGATGTGATTTCTTGTATGAAAGTCAATATTAATCTGTAGGAAGGAAGGAGGAACAAAATCAGTGTCAGTTTGATTGGAATGCTGAGGTCTGTTTGTGTACAGGACACAATCAGCTTCTGAATTTCCTCCCACATACCCAGGCTGATGCCAATTGGCAGAGAGGTCATCCCTTTTTTTTTTTCTAGCATACCATTTTTTTAATACCATTTATTTGGTTCTTAGACAATTGGCATCGCTGCGGGGGGGGAGAGGGGAAAGAAGTGCAAACTTGATTTTGATTATTTCATCTTTCTGCCAGACCAAATCCTATGAAGTACAGATCACCAAAGGCAAATTAGGGATTAGAGCAAATCAGGCTCTGTTTCACACAAAGTTCTCCACCTGGTAAATTGCTGACATAACGGGGAAGGGCAGCCAAGTTGAAATGAGTTTTCCGTCATTGTAGGAGTTTTGGATTTGAACTTTCCACTTGATTCCCATCCTCAGTCGTACCCAAAGTACATGCAAAAAAATCTTTACCTCCTTTGGAGCATCAGCTTCAATGAAGTCAGCGTAAATCTTTTGGGCTTTGGCTGCGATCTTGGTGGAAGACTTGGTTTTTTTGAAATCTTCACAAGCCAGCCAGAACTCTACATTCTCCTCGCTGAATTCTGACTTCAAAAACTTCCTGAAAGCTGCCAGGCCATCTGGAGAAAAATGCATGAGACTGAGGGGTAGAAGGAAGCTGAAAAATCAATATAGATTCTATAATGTGTGCATTTATTTGCAGGATATATATTGTCACTTATGTTTCTGAAATTGTTTTTCCCACCAGCCAGCAGCTAGCCCCAGGAGGCTGTTTTGGGGAAAATAAGTAGGGCATGAAACAACAGCAGTGGTAAGGTGATGAAGGGAGTTCTGCCAGTTATTCACAGAGGAAGGATCCCAAAACCTGCTTTGTGTGAGCCAGTCTCTCCAATGATTCTTATTCAAAAAGAAATCAGGATCATGGTGGTCTATAAGAGGATTTGGAGCAACTAGACAATCAGGGATGTGAGGCTGACCCCACTCTAAGCAGCGTGCTGAACATTAATTTGTGCTGTGGCAGTGTGCTGCTCTCAGAGTTGAGAGCCTGGCTAGATAGCTTCTATGCTGCTTTTCAGGTAATGAGTTTCAAGTCGAGCAAGGCTTACATGCCACCAGCAGTACTGTGGCTCAGAGTACATGGTTAGGTGGGCAGACAGCAGTGTGCAAACCTGATGGCAATGTCTGTGAGTTGATTTGACATGGTTTTGTTATTTTTAACACTTTTCATCTACTCTTACCTTTATTAGCAAGTAGTGTATCCACAGAGTCAGACCAAGCCAGTGTTTCTTCTGTGTTTGACCTATGGAAACAACATCTATCCTTGAAAATAGCATCATGATCTTTTGCCTGTGCAGGCCATGGTAGCTACTTTATCATTTGGATATCCCACAGAAGGAGCACTTTTTGGGGTGGGGGCATAGAGGACCCAGTCTCATAAAACAGAATGTTATTTGACACTGCAAAATTCATCCATGAAACAACATTAATAATGTTTGCAATTGATTGAACTACAGTAAAAACATAGGAGGGATATTAACGTTCTAAAGTACTGAATTCCTTCTCAAGTTCAAATGGATTAACCATCAATATGACACTTACTTCTTGGAATGAGTAGAATTATCTACACAGTTATCATGCTAACACTGGTAACGTTATGGGCTTTTTTCTGCAATTTCTCAGCAATATAGAAGTTTGAATACATGTAAATAAGGGTCAAAGTAAAAACTTTCAGTTCTATTAAACTTGGCTTTGATTGAAATTAACACTTTATGAGCTTTTAATTTAAACCTCCAGCAGAGAAAAAAGCTCCCTTGACCAGCATTATTGTTACTGCTTACAGTTTTTGTTTGGAAGAAAACAGTTTCATAAAAATGAAGCACTGTGCAGAGATGTGCCTCTTAGCACACAACTTCTGATGGAATCACTGTGTGCCTACCTGCTTTCCTATGCTATTTTCCTATTTAGTTTTCTCAATATCAGGCATCTCCAAATGAACGTTAGTCTCATAACTACCATTTAGCAATAAGGAAGAATAAATCTGACTTTGGTCATATTCTTGTCTCAGATTGGTGACATTGGTCATATTCTATTTGTTAAGGAGTACATTTCTTCACTAAACCTCAGTTCAATAGTATGCAACTGGAAATTTTTTTGAAATAATTTTTTGTTGAGGAAAAACTAAAAAATACATAAAATCTGAAAGATATCCTCTAGCAAATCTTGCAGGCAGGTCATTTCAAGAGTCAATCAGTTTTTCATGTTACCTCTAGGCCCTGGAACGTGTTCAAAGGAGGGCAACAAAGCTGGTGAGGGGTCTGGAACACAGGCCATAGGAGGAGAGGCTGAAGGAGCTGGGAATGTTCAGCCTGGAGAAGAGGAGGCTCAAGGGAGACCTTATTGCTCTCTATAACTTCCTGAAGGGAGGCTGTAGTGAGCTGGGGGTCGGCCTCTTCTCTCGTGTCATTAGTGATAGGACCAGGGGGAATGGCTTCAAGCTACAGCAGGGGAGATTCAGGCTGTACATGAGGAAGTATTACTTTTCAGAAAGGGTGGTCAGGCACTGGAATGGACTGCCCAGGGAGGCGGTGGAGTCACCGAGCCTGGGGGTGTTCAAGGAAAGGCTGGATGTTGTGTTGAGGGACATGGTTTAGTGGGAGCTATTGGGAATAGGTGAACGGTTGGACTGGATGATCTTTTAGGTATTTTCCAACCTTGGTGATTCTATGATTCTATGATTCTAAAGACATGTAGTGAAAGATAAAGGATTTACTTAAGCCAGTATCCTGTAATCTACTGCAAATAGACTGAGTGGGTTTTTTCAAACATCCTTTGAATTCTAGTGAAATTAATGCACATTTAAAATACAATTTTTTAAAAAGTTCAGTGGGAATGAAGAATAGGCTTTGCTGACATTTTGCACTGAACAAAGAACTCGAAATAAAACAAATAGTTCAAAGGGCAAGGCCAGAGCAGACTAAGTGAGTAAGTCATTGATTACTCCCTCCCCTCCAAATTTTAGATGCAGTTTTTCTATACAGTGAAAAGAGGATATGAACACTACAATACCTGGAAAGGTATCCAACAGATCCCTGCCTCATGTTGCTTGTATTGAAACTGTTATATTTTATACAAAGACCTCGACAGGAAACCATGTTTCCCACCCTGTGATTATTTATCTTACACAGTTTACAATGGCATAGGGATTTGAAACTGAATTTACATTCCAGGTGAATGTAATCATCACTTGACTTTCTGGCAGCTCTGGAAATATTTGTATGCCTCTTCCCTCTCATTTGGTAGTAAGGAGGAACTGAACAGTTTGGAAGTGTTTTGTTTCAGTGCAGTCAAAACAAATCATGGAATTTCTTACAGACACATAAATCATATTTTCTGACTAGCCTCTGTTCCTCAAGAAACCTCACAAATTAATTGTTGTGGAGGCTGAGCATTCTGTGTGTAAGGGCAGGCAGGAAGAACCAGAGGTAATGGAGGGCGCTGTTGGGCTGGCAGAGCGTCACAAGCCATTGGCAGTGTCTGTGGTCATGATGGGTGAGAAGCTGGGATATGTGAACAACAGAGTGGAAAAGGATCCCATGTACCACTAGTGCTATTTTCTATGTATATTTGTCAAGAGCTTATGTGATTATAAGTAAGAAAAATGCTTTTTTACACTAAGGGCAGTGAGGCATGGCACAGGCTGCCCAGAGAGGTGTGGGTGCCCCATCCCTGCAGATAGCCAAGGTCAGGCTGAATAGGCTCAGAGCACTGATGGAGCTGTGGGTGTCCCTGCTCACTGCAGGGAGTGAGACCAGATGGACTTTAAGGGTCCCCTTCAACTCGAACTATTCTGTGATTGTATGATCCTATTATGGTGCTACCATGTACTGTAACTGCAGTTATATTTATAATTATTACAGTTGGTTTCTGCATTGACATTTTTAAAAGCAAGTGCTTTTGGAGCTGTTGGTTTACTTCTCTCCAACTGCACAAAATGATATTTAAATAAGTAGAAGAAAATGATATATGTATTTATAAATATGTATGCATGCATACAGGAGGGAAACTGGAGAGCAAATACATTCAGTCTGGATTGAAAAACAGAAATGAAAGCTAAACGTAGCATCATGCAGTGCTCTGTGAGATGTTGTGTGCTAATGCAGTTAATCAGCAGAGAATTTCTTTCAGTGACAGTAATAAACTCTAATTAAATATAACAAATTTTGGGTGCTTCAGCAGAACAAAAAGCAAAGATAAGACAGTATAAACATAATTCTGCTTCTTTTCCTCATCAGTAATACTATTTGATTTAACATTTATTAGTCAGAGAATGATTTCACTGATTTCATTGGATTTGGATGGGAATGGCAAGCAGAAGTGACAACAAGGAACCAAAATCATCATTGTAGAGTGTAAGGGGGAAGGAAAACAAAAAGTGTCCAGATCATTTAAAAGTTGACCATCTCATAAAGAGCCTAAGATTAAAATAGCCATAAAAAACAACTCACTTCACTGGCATTTTTTGTTCCACTGTCTGACTGTCACGGGTAGGGCAGAATTTCTTTTCCTGACTGATCTTCAAGCTGAAGGTGATATGATAGCAGGAACAATACAATTAGCACGTGCATCCCCACAAAGTACAGTGCAAGCTGACAGACTGCTTTTAATACCTCCTTTACAATTTTCTCTTTCAGAACTATGGCTTATTTTTCAGCAGTGGCCATGCTATCTTACAGTTATGCTCTGAACAACATCTTATTAGAGAAATCATCTTACTGACTGTGGAACAGCAGGATGCAAAATAGGTTCAGTGCACCTAGCTAGAAAATTCTTCATTGTATTTCTTTGCTCTTACTATTGTATCTGCTCTAAGCACACCTGTGACTTATCCATTACCTTATACATCTCGAAGGTCTAAGCCCTTGAAGTGTTTGTCTCTCATTTATTCAAACAAGTCTTCTTACACTGATGCTGCTACAAACAATGGGGTCGTGTGGTATCTGAAAACTGTAAAGCAGCAATTTCTTCTGCTCTTACTGATACTTCATTTGGTGTGATCTCTTCGAAGAGCATCACTCCGTCCCAGAAACGTCCTCATATAATTTTTCCTTTTGCTGTGATATCTCTTTGTTTATTCTTTTCTTCTCGACACTTTTCTTTCTCAGTATATTCCTTGCTCCCTTGCTCTCCTGAACCAGGAGGCTTTTACTTTCAGGCCTCTCTCCTTGTGGTGCAGCCTAATCCTTTTCTGCCCTTACCCAGCTTCCTTTATTCTCCTTTAATAGAGAAATATATATATATATATATATATATATATTAGCTTAAGAATAAGATGAATGTTGGTAAAAGAACAAATGGATATAAACAGTAAAAAAGTTTCATTGGGAAAACAGAAGGCTTCAGAAAGTACCACTGATAATTTTCCCCAGTGGGGTTTTTGTCCTCTCTACTTCTCTGTACTTCAAATATAGAGTCTGATACATTCATGAAAGAGATTATTTTACATTGTCGCCTTTGATGATAGGAAACTAGGAACAACGACCCAAGGTACCCCTTCGAGCCCTAATTTCTTAATACTGAGCAAGATTTCTGGCAGCAAAATGAAGCTATTGGGTGTTTTTTTTTTTGCACATTTCTTATCTTTGAATCCACTTGCTTCTAAAAGTAATAATGGAATGACAGAAATAAGAACTACCATCTTTATTCTCTGCCACTAGTTATTTGGTCTAATTTCCACAGAATATATACCATGAACTATAAAATAGTGCCAGACAAGACCAATATTTTACTGAAATTTCATAAGGAGAAAAACTGTCTCGGTATTACAACACATCCATCAGCTACTTGTGCAAATGTTTTGGTTATTCATAATACACTACATCAAACAAACAAGCTCTCTATTGACCTGCAATGGATTTACGAGTGCACTGCCTTTGGCGGATGGTAACAGAGCTAGAACTGTAGGAAAGGGAATGTGGAGCTGTTGGTTGCACATTTCATCCTTCACCCCTATTGCTTGATAAGGACCAACATCCTTTATGGAAAGGTATTGGCTGATTGGAGCAATTAAGCTTATCATTTAGTGTTCTGCTTAACCACACCTGAGCTAGATACCAGTATTTAGCAACTCTTCAGCTTGCATATTGATGTATTAACCTAAGAAATCCCTTGCATTTTTTATATTTCCTAAAAGAGTTGCCTTGTACTCACCTTAGTGCAATGTGAGCAAATGTCACACTCTCCCACAAAAGTTTTAGAGTGTTGCTGTCAGGTTCAATATCTTAATGCCCTTCAGCACTTGGCCTTCGTTGAATCCATTCCACAGCCAGGCTAGTTGGATATTACTCCATATAGCATAACCTCAGGAGGAAAATGAAGGTTCTCTTGATCCAAGCAATACAAGTAGATTTACCACCTTTCTTAAGTTGGAAGATGACCTAGGCACTGCTGGCATCCTAGTGAAACGTAACCACCTGTCATAGCAGATGCAAATCCATTTTAGTCACAGCACTATGTAAATCTGCATCTTCCACCTTCCAGTAATACAGTGTGGACAGCTTACAAACACATTTATTTATTTTTTTTCCATGTGAATAACTTTGTGTATCTTCAGTATGCCACAGAGCTATTTTGCATAAAGAAATTAGCTGTTATTTTCCACCCAATCAATGTGTCCCTTCAGGTGAAAGATTTGATTTCCAGAACAATCTGTCAAAATGTTTTTCATCATGTTGTGCTCCTTATGTACATGATTTCTAAGTGCTAAACAAACACAAATGTTGACTAAAGGGGAATTGGAAGCAATTCTCAGAACAAAACTATGCAAACTTGAAGAGTTTAAGTTAGTACTACTCAGCAGATTGTTTGTCCCAGATCTTGTCCTGGATGAACAAACTACAATTTTTATAGCAGCAGATTAACAAAAGTTCCTATTTGCACAAGAAGCCTGTATGGTGCATACTTAAAGGGCAGTATCAGAATCTTGCACTTGGAGATGGATATAAATTGTACCAACACAATAATATATAAAAAGTAGGCATGATGTCATAGAGAGCTCCTGAGCCATAATTCCCTATATCAGTTGTCTTCTGTGTCTTGCCTTGCTGGTGGTGTGTCCCAAACCAAGATGGGATGAGTAATGGATCAAAGGGAAAACCAATATACCACTGTCCTTGATTGTGAAGAAGCAAGTTTCTAAAATACAAGAAAATAGCACACTGAAGAAACAGCTGCTTAGGAATTGTAGTTACGTTCGGTTTCAGCTTAACCTTCTGTTCCGCTTGAAAACAAGGTATTGACTTTCACAGGGTTGTTCTTCACGCTACTTAATTTTAACTAAGTTTTCTAATGAAGCCAAAGTCTGATTCATAATAACTCCTCTTGTGAGTTGACATCTGAGATGTTTACGCCAACACATGTTGTTTAGGAAAGTAGGGATAAAAGCTTTAAAGTAAAAACAGGCAGCTTTCACGGCTCAGTTCTCACTGGCCGGTGTTAAAAAAAAAAAAAAAAAAAGAAAAAGAAAAAGAAAAAGGAAGATGGCAACAAGACAGCAGGAGAAAAGAAGAAATGGAGGCAAGCTGGATGTTGGGTAGAGGACTGATATTTATATCTTTGGCATACAGCCACACAGGAGCTAAACGGTCATTTGATTGAGACTTTTGACTGTAATCAAAAAAAAACAGAGGGGGGTCTAACACAGGTATCTGAGCAAGGTGTTCATGCATGAGCATATAAAGCACTGAAGAGAAGATGATTTTATGCTTTTTTTTTTTTTTTTCAGTTGGAGCCTTTCAACGTTATGCATGGAAAATAATTTGGAAGGGAGAGGGAACTGTATTCAAAGTTAATTAAGGCAGCTGAGCAGCTGGGGACAAAAAGAAAGGAGAGAAAAAATAACCTGCCATTTGTGAGTCACTTACTTGCCTCTATACACCACAGCTTCTAAGAGCCACATTATCAATTGCCTCCAGTTGCGGTAGAAGGAAACCTTTCTTTTCCTTTGAGATTCATTATGTTAGAACTCAGTCCTCTTGTTTCTTGTCAGAACAAATATTAATTAAGTTGTCATTTGCACAATATCAAATCCCAAAAGCCAAAGAAAAGATGTGAAGATGTGTATTTTGATGTCCCTCAAGCTAACAACAGCAGATAATAAATCAGTTAATTCAATGCATCTAATCAGAGCTAGGTAAAAGAAAATAAAAAGGCAACAAACATCTGTGCTACAGAATTCTGTAGATTTTTTCCCTCATACATTGGAGCTGGAGATTTTACTTATGTAAGGAACAGAGTGAAGTGTTTATTTAGGCTAAAGTGTTGTTAAGAGGTACTTTGAGAGCTCTTACTGAATACTGAACAACACACACAAATCCAAAAAGCTGCTACATAATGTAATTCCCAATAAAAATATATACCCAGCAGGCTTCGTATGTATTATTCACATCAAGCCAGAAAAACAAGAGGATTTATTTAACTGTGGCATTGATTCTGCCAAACCTAGAGAAGTCCAGCGATGGTTTCTGGCACTGTCCATGCTATAAATACATCCCTGCAGAGCTAGCCTTCAATCTGATCAATCCTGTCTCTCTGAAGCATGGAGAAGTGTCACGGACTTGTTCTAAACCTGTTTAGTTCATCTTTCCAGCACTTGTTTTTCTGCCACAAAAAGGAATCTCCTCCAGAAAGCAGATAATTCTGTCCTTTTGGTTTATCTTTGTGTCCTTTGTCTTCCTTTCTCTGAATTTATCTCTACTTTCTTCTTATAGTAGTTCCCATGGCCTCAGTCTGCCGTAAATCATGGTTCATAATTATCTCTGAAAAACATACATGCATGAGTAGCTACCAAGAATAGCTTATTTGTTTGTTGTAATTACAAAACTCATGCAAGGGACTAGCACTGTCAGTACTACAGAATGATGGTTGTGAGGAAGGCCTCCCTGGCGATAAGCAACATTTTCCATGTTCCTGTGAAAGGAAACAAAGGCGCCTGCTGACTTCTATTTATCACTGCAGACAGTTTTGAGTAACTGCTTGGGTTTTTTGCTAAGAAGGAAATGTCTTACTCAAAGCACTGTATTTGTCATTTCTCTGGGTTTTGGAGCAGTAGTAAATGCATTCTTTTACATTTATTTCGTCCACGGCAAGAGCAAATATTAGATTCCGTGAAGGTATGAAGTAACATGATCACCAGTTGAGAATCTGGTGGCAAACATACAGGTTTTGCACCTGTGTTGTAACAGACCCACTGTTATCTCTCAAGTGAACTATCAAGTATAGCATTTGAGAGCTGATGTGACTCTGGGCAGCCTAATGATCTAATGGCTGGTAACCCTGCACACAAGTGTGGGGGTTGAAACTAGATGATCATTGTGGTCCTTTTCAACCCAGGCCATTCTATGATTTCAGAGGATGCTATTTATGGAGGGGAGCACACAAGGGAGCATTTATGTGCAGTATTGGATAGTCAGCTTTAGGACACAGAACTGCATACTGAGAACAACAGTTGATTGTGTTGTTTAACTGGCCTCATACCTAGCTTAGCATGGGGGAAAAGCATGCTTCCTTCTAGACAGACATATGCATCCACATGACCAGATGTTGAATGACACATGTTGTGTTAAAAGGGCATTCTTGGCCCTTGACTGCTGCTCATTCAGTTGGAAAGAAAAAAGAAAAAAAGAGAGAGAATACAAAAATTTGATAGCAAAGCTATTTTATACAGCATAGTTTAAATATAAAGAAAAGATGTACAAGAAGACTATATAATATATCTCTATAAAAATTAAATAGGCATTCTTATCATCCTCTTGAAATATGCAATAGCTAAATTTTAATTATGCAGTAGCAGTAGTTAAAATCCATATAATTTTTACATTTCACCTAACTAATGTTCCCATGTGTTCTGCAGTATGAGTAAGTACTACAAATATTCCATGCTTAGTGTAGGAAATACTACAAAAAAAAAAAAAATCATGTGCAAAGGTTAGCTATACAGATTCAAACTGTGACAAAACTGTCTTATGATACAGGCTCAGAATACATGATGGGTGTTATCAAATAGCGTTTTAGACAACATTTTTGTCAGAAACTCAGGTTCTTCTTTCTAATATGATAACAGGTCCTGCTTGAGTTACAAAAAAATACTGTAGAAAAGCTTCACATGACACGTCTCAGCAATAAGTTGCCTGGTTGTCTACAGTAAATGGGATTACTCACTAGCAACAAAACTATGACCTGGTATGAATGCATGCAACTTTGCTTGCCACTTATTTACACCACCTAAGGATTTGTAATTTATAACACATGTACAATTTGCTTGCAGTGGCTAGAATTCATGAGGGCTGAGTTCCCTATTGCCAGATGGTAAAGTCTGGTCGCACACCCTGGAAATCATTGACAGTGAAGGACCGTGATCGTCTCCTAAGAGTGGGACGACCAGGATTTCTCCCCTTAACCAAATTCAAATAAAGATCAGATCTTAGGAAGCGTGGATAGCTGTCTTGCTCCATCAGCCTGTAGACTGTGTTTTGTGCTGCATCAAAGGTGGTAATGATGGGCCGCTCAATATTCTGACTTGTAACTTCTTTGGTTTTAAAGTCCAAATTCACCTGGAGAATGAGGAAAAGTGTACTTATTTAACGTGCATTAACACAATTCTTTCGTTGTCCGTAGCAAAGATATTGTATATTGGTGAAAGAGTTTTCTGATAAAAAGGACTTTCAATCCTGTATATTACACAAGATTAATGCCATAGAATTAGAGTATTCCTTTTCAGTTATGGCTGCCAGAAAGTCTACATAAATGTGTCACTGGTACACTGAAGAACTGATAAAATATCAGTTAAGATACAACCAACACATTTTGATCTGGTAGTATCTGATTAAAAGTAACTCACTATCAGCAATCTTGGAATAGTTGCTGCTGCCGAGTTTTGCATCACCAGCCTAAGGCTGAACTCCTTCCTTTTTCATTTAAGAGACAAGTAGAACTTTGTCTCCTTAGAATGCAGTAGTGTATATTAAAGATTTCTAGATGCTGTATGGGGTTTTAATGGCAGGAGGGTGAAAAAATTCTAAGAATTAAAATATTAAAATAATTTTAGTGAGTTTCTGGAGGCTTTAGAGATGTGGAAAGCACATCAAAATGATCATTTATTCCATGCACTGGTGCATTCTTCCTGGGAAGATCTCACACAGAAATCATAGAATCACAGAGTCATAGAATGGCTTGGGTTGGAAGAGACCTCAAGGATCACCAAGCTCCAACTCCTCTGCTGCAGGCAGGACGACCAGCCACCATATCCAATACTAGATCAGGCTGCCCAGGGCCCCATCATTAGGTTACTCTTGGTCAAAGTATGACTTCCATGCTCTGTCCCCTCCCCTGCTTTTTTCCTGCTCACCCTTTTGTTTGTCAGTCTCAAGGCATGACAATATCAGGGCTCAATGTCCTACCATAATTGCTCACAGATTATTTAGCAATGATAAGTTCCGGCTCAAATAATTAGAGAATCTTAGAATGGTTCGGGTTGGAAGGGAGCTTAAAGATCATCCAGTTCCAACACCCTGCCATGAGCATGGCTGCCAACCACTAGACCAAATTATGAGTTTTTCTTTTTAAGTAAGGTCCACCCACTGAGATGCTGCAGGAGAAGGAGTGAAAAAGACTGTAAGTTTTGAAAGTGGCACTAGTAAGCCAGGCCTCTGTCAAAAGTGGATCTGAATGTTATACATAGTCTGTGAGAATTACGGGTGGAGATTGCATCATTTTGTAATCCTTCTCTTAAAATAAGAATTACACTTATTTCACCTTTGTTACAGGGAAGTAGCTGTTGGAGTTTAACTTCTGCTCTTCTAGCAAGTTTAAAAAAAAATACAAGGGAAAGGGAGAATTGGCAAGTGCCATATTCCTGTTCAACCTTGACAGAATTAGAGGAAAATGTAAGTCCAGAATACCTACTGAGGAGGCTGAGCTTGATTTCAGTAAGAGCTCATCATCTCCTTCCCAAGTAGGCAAAAAGAAAAAAAAATATAAAGTGTTCTTTTTGCTCATTTACAGTATGATTCCTTCATAACGCATTTCAGAAAAATGAAGAATTGTAAATATTAAGACTTTTTGCACTACTATAGTAATAAAAAAAGCCCTTCGTGTTAATTAGTATTGACATAGCAACTTGTTTTTATCTGTGTGCTGTCAGTAACATAGCAAGAACGCTCAGCCAGAGCTTTGAGGATGGAGAACATTAATCATGAAAAATCTTTGCTTAGAACATTATCATTATCATTTAAGGAATATGTTTAATTTAGTAAATTCTTCTAGCCTCTTTCAGTCTTTTGGCTTATTTAAAACAAAAGCTTCTGGGTCTGTAATCATTTGACAAATAGTTTAAGAGAATGGGAGAATTATTCTGTTGTTCTGGAAGCAGCATTGACTACAGACAGATAATACTTCTTCAAAAATGCTAGCTGATATGTTTCATGGCAGCATTAACATTTATCATTGCTATTTTTCACTAAATTAACTGTGTGTATATATATATGTATATGTGCATATATATCCTGGCTTTGTAGACCGACAGGAATCTTTGATTCCCGTGATCTAATATTCAAACTCAGAGTTGTATACTTAGAAGAGCAATAAGCAGTGGGTTTTGTAAGGAGCTTGGAGATGAATAAACTAAGCAATTACTTCCAGGCTTCCTTCCAAAGCTTTGACATGTAAGACACAGTCTCCTTAAGTCAGTGACAGCACAATTAATGGTTGTTACTGTTTCTGGACACACTTCTTAAAAGCAGATTTCATCAGATGCAGTTGTGGAAAACACTGTGTACGCTGAAGAATGTTTTTACTGTACCTCTTTTGGAGCATCTTTCCGTATGAATGTTTCATAAATGGTCTTAGCTTTTGGGAAAAGTTCGTTTGGAGTTTTACTCTTCTTGTAATCCTCACAAGCTATCCAGAACTCAATGTTCTCCTCACTGAACTCCGTTTTCAGAAATCTTGTGAAGGCATCCAATCCATCTACAGAAGGGAATATTGAATTGTGTTAAATGAATATATATATATATATATATATCCTTATCAGACAGTTAATATCTTCAGGCAGTCTAAGCAAAGTCACAAAACGGGTTGTGCTCCCTTTAAATTACATTGCATCACAGATCATTATTTTAAATTGCATAAAGGCTTTAAAATAAGTGCATGCTGTAACTCCCATGACAGAATTCTCATTATTGATTACCAAGACCTTAAGAATGTATAAATGGAAGCAATCAAATCATCTGTATGTATCTGGAAGTGATGGAATTTGCTAAATATCAGATTGAATTAGGTTAACCCAAATGCAATGAGAATGTCTGCCCACTGCAGCTGGATTATATGTGTGTCCCTCCAGAATGGAAGGACGATGACATATGTGCATTTGATATCTATGTAAGCAATGGGCCATTTCAAATAATGGCCATCTTGGATCCTATTACTGTTTTAGGAACAAACTGCACCAAAGCTGACAAATTCTTTTCTTAGGTCCATTGAACATGTTTTCATTTTTAAGATTTTGGTCTTGCAGTCAGGAATATTTGAACAAAATTCAAATGAAAGTGATGTAATAAATCTTTGTCATAGCCATCATGAAGAGTCAGTTCTTTGGCCAAATGTTGCCTCCTATAGCTCTTATTATTTGTAAAGCAAATGATTGTTGCCTTGGTACACTTTGTATATTCAGTGCTGAATCAATCATTGATTCTCAAGAGTTTAGAACCACTGAGATTGTGGCTCTGGATGGATTTATCTGTATGAAAGGGAGTACTAAGGATGTGGGCCAGAAATGCTGCTCCTAAGCTAGAGACTTGATATCCCCAAACTTTTTAGATCTTCTGTAGTCCATTTAAATATCTCTTATTTTCCCAGAGTTAACAGAAGACTAAAATAATCTAGCTCCAATGTAACAATGAACATTTAAACCAACATTTAAAGGATGACTTGGCTAAACTTTTTATATGAAAATCAATACATTCCACTAAGAGCAATGTTTCCAGAATGATCAGTTCACTCAAGTTCTGGTCTTCAAGCAAAGTCCCAATGCCAGTAAGTTGTTGACTAAGTTCAGAATGAAACTTGCAGACAATATACAAAGATACAGTATTATTTTCACGCAAACTCAGACTTTTTTTTGCTATTTTTATCTTGGATAAAAAATTTGCTATTCTATCTTGGATTAGAACTGAGAAGCATTTTCTCTCAAGTTCTCCTCTACTATAAGCTTATTTCAATATTATCTCTATGTCACACATGGCTAGTTATCCCTAATAGAAAAATAATGGCTATAAAACGTTTAAGAACAAAGAGGCTGTCACTTCATGAAAGATGAACTAAGAATACTGATGATAATACAAAAAAAAATTAGCCTTTATTATACAAGCTGTATAATAAGACTGGACAGGAACAACGAGATACTTTTGGCAGAGGCCAAATGATGGATGAGACTGCCAGCAGATTTCTAGCCATTTTTTAAGATTGCCATTTGGGATTTCTGTGGTAATACAGCAGTTAGCTCATCTGAACATAGCTCTTCTTTTTGACAAT